CCGATTGGCGTGAAGTCACCAGTGGAGTCCCACAGGGCTCTGTACTCGGTCCTATCTTGTTTCTGATATATGTAAATGATCTCCCGGAGGGTATCGATTCATTTCTCTCAATGTTTGCGGACGATGCTAAAATTATGAGAAGGATTAAAACAGAAGAGGACTGTTTGAGGCTTCAAGAAGACCTAGACAAGCTGAAGGAATGGTCGAACAAATGGTTGTTAGAGTTTAACCCAACCAAATGTAATGTAATGAAGATAGGTGTAGGGAGCAGGAGGCCAGATACAAGGTATCATCTGGGAGAGGAAATTCTTCAGGAGTCAGAGAAGGAAAAAGACTTGGGGGTTGATATCACGCCAGACCTGTCTCCTGCAGCACATATCAAGCGGATAACATCAGCGGCATATGCCAGGCTGGCCAACATACGAACGGCATTCAGAAACTTGTGTAAAGAATCATTCAGAACTTTGTATACCACATATGTCAGGCCAATCCTGGAGTATGCAGCCCCAGCATGGAGTCCATATCTAGTCAAGGATCAGACTAAACTGGAAAAGGTTCAAAGGTTTGCCACCAGACTAGTACCCGAGCTGAGAGGTATGAGCTACGAGGAGAGACTACGGGAATTAAACCTCACTTCGCTGGAAGACAGAAGAGTTAGGGGGACATGATCACCACATTCAAGATTCTGAAGGGGATTGATAGGGTAGATAAAGACAGTCTATTTAACACAAGGGGAACACGCACAAGGGGACACAGGTGGAAACTGAGTGCCCAAATGAGCCACAGAGATATTAGAAAGAACTTGTTTAGTGTCAGAGTGGTTGACAAATGGAATGCATTAGGGGGTGATGTGGTGGAGGCTGACTCCATACACAGTTTCAAGTGTAGATATGACAGAGCCCGATAGGCTCAGGAATCTGTACACCTGTTGATTGACGGTTGAGAGGCGGGACCAAAGAGCCAGAGCTCAACCCCCGCAAACACAACTAGGTGAGTACAACTAGGTGAGTACACACACACACACACACACACACACACACACACACACACACACACACACACACACACACACACACACACACAAAGAATGAACTTGTAATGTACCGGAAAGAATAATTAGGCTACGACTGGTTGCACACCTGGAGAACATTAGGTTTGTGAACAAACATCAACATGGGTTCTGGAATGGGAAATCGTGCCTAACCTTTTGGAATTCTATGATAAAATAACGAGGATAAGACAGGACAGAGATGGTTGGGTAGACTGCATATTTCTGGACTGCCAAAAAGCCTTTGATACAGTGTCGAAATTGTTTAGAACGGGTGGTAGGCGATCAAGGGGACACAGGTGGAAGCTGAGTACCCACATGAGCCACAGAGACGTTAGAAAGAAATTTTCAGTGTCAGAGTAGTTAGTAAATGGAATGCATTAGGCAGTGATGTGGTGGAGGCTGACTCCATACACAGTTTCAAACGTAGAGCTCTGATCGACAGTTAAGAGGCGGGACTATCTTATCTTGAGGTTATCTTGAGATGATTTCGGGGCCTTTTAGTGTCCCCGCGGCCCGGTCCTCGACCAGGCCTCCACCCCCAGGAAGCAGCCCGTGACAGCTGACTAACTCCCAGGTACCTATTTACTGCTAGGTAACAGGGGCATTCAGGGTGAAAGAAACTTTTGCCCATTTGTTTCTGCCTCGTGCGGGAATCGAACCCGCGCCACAGAATTACGAGTCCTGCGCGCTATCCACCAGGCTACGAGGCCCCCTAGGAGGAGCCAAAGAACTAAGGAGCCAAAGTTCAACCCCCGTAAACACAACTAGGTGAGTACACACATACGCACAGACTGCATATTCCTTGACTGTCGGAAGGCTGTTGACACAGTCCCGCATGAAATACTCCTCCTCAAACTAAACAAGTAGGTTGACATCTGGAAGAGTGCTAAGGTGGACCAGAGAGTACCTCTCAGGCAGGAAACAAAGGGTTAAAGTGAGAGCAGAGACATCAGAGTGGAGAGAGAGAGGTTACTTGAGACGAAAGGTCAACTACAGCTCTGAGATGAATCACAGGTTCGGTAGACAGGTTTCAACTGGCTTCCCTGAACTCATTGACGATGCTGGGAGCAGGTTTCCTTTACATGGTGGAAGTACAGTTTGGGCGGGAGTCTCGGCTGACAGACTCAGTTTGGGCGGGAGTCTCGGCTGACAGACTCAGTTTGGGCGGGAGTCTCGGCTGACACTCAGACTCAGTTTGGGCGGGAGTCTCGGCTGACAGACTCAGTTTGGGCGGGAGTCTCGGCTGACAGACTCAGTTTGGGCGGGAGTCTCGGCTGACAGACTCAGTTTGGGCGGGAGTCTCGGCTGACAGACTCAGTTTGGGCGGGAGTCTCGGCTGACACTCAGTATCTCAGCTATCCAAGAATGAGAACAATTACGACCGTCAGCCGGCCAAGTTTCCAACCTTTTAACCGGTTCATCAGCCTCCTTCTCCTGATGGTTTGTTGGTTTGGATTCAGCCACTCGGAACAAAAAGTTCCAAGTAGCACGGGCTATGGTGAGCCCCGCAGTGAACTTAGTTACCATCTTCTCTTGGTAACACTCGGTTCTCTACCTATTAGGAAGGTCTCACCGATACAAAAAAAAGTGCAACACTGGATTTGACAATGATTTGAGACAGATATGTTGATTTGTGATTGGGGTTTGAAATAGCAGGCGCCATGCATTATTTTACATGACTGGTGGCCGGTAGCTGAGCGGACAGAACACTGGACGCGTGATCCTGTGGTCCCGGGTTCGATCCCGGGCGCCGGCGAGAAACAGTGGGCAGAGTTTCTTTCACCCTGATGCTCCTGTTACCTAGCAGTAAATAGGTACCTGGGAGTTAGTCAGCTGTCACGGGCTGCTTCCTGGGGGTGGAGGCCTGGTCGAGGACCGGGCCGCGGGGACACTAAGCCCCGAAATTATCTCAAGATGCATTCACACTATCAACGCTTTGCTTCTCCAACCTTCTCTATCTCTTTCTGTCCAACCGCTTGGGCTGGACGGTAGGGCGACGGTCTAGCTTCATGCAGGTCGGGGTTCAATCCCCGACCGTCCACAAGCGGTTGGGGACCATTCCTTTTCCCCCGTCCCATCCCAAATCCTTATCCTGACCCCTTCCCAGTGCTATATTGTCGTAATGGCTTGGCGCTTTCCCCCTGATAATTCCCTTTCCTCCTATTCCTTTCTACATCTTTATCCTTCTCTACCTCTTCCCATTTTCTTATTTATCTCTCCCCCTTCTCTTCTACACTTATCCACTCTTCTCTACCTATCTCCACTCTCTATCTTTAGATGTTCCTTTATCTCTCCATTCATCTCTACCTCTCTAGACCTCTCCACCCGTCCCTACCTATTCATCCCTTCCTACTTTTCTACCCTTTCTTACCTTTCCACACCTGCCTACCCCCATCCTCCCTTTCTACTCCCTCCCCCTCTTCTATCTTTACCCACCTCCCTATCTCTCTATTTCTGAATGACATGGGGATACGCAAGCTGTCTGTGAACACTTGTACAGATGCGTATAGGTGTGAACAGGTGCGTACAGGTGTGTACACGTGTGTACAGATGCGTATAGGTGTGAACAGGTGGGAACAGGTGCGTACGGGTGCGTACAGGTGCGTACAGATGTGTACAGATGTGTACAGGTGCGTACAGATGTGAACAGGTGTGTACAGATGTGTACAGGTGCGTACAGATGTGAACAGGTGTGTACAGATGCGTACAGGTGTGTACACGTGTGTACAGATGCGTATAGGTGTGAACAGGTGGGAACAGGTGCGTACAGGTGTGTACAGGTGCGTCCAGATGTGAACAGGTGTGTACAGGTGCGTACAGATGTGAACAGGTGTGTACAGATGCGTACAGGTGCGTACAGATGTGAACAGGTGTGTACAGGTGCGTACAGATGCGTACAGGTGTGTACAAGTGTGTACAGGTACAGGTGTCATACACTAGTGGCCCTGAGTCTACCAGGAGCCAAAGTCTATGGCATCACCAATGGCTCAGCGAAGCACTTCTGGAACTGGTCAACTGGGAGATCTCTCCATAATGTACTCTAGTATATTGTACACACAAACCCACTTGTTAAAACACGAGTTGTGTACAGCGGTAGGAGTTCCAATTTGTCTAGGCCAGAATGTAAATTCTATCTCGTCACTAGGATTTTCATCCTGTTGCCCCTGTTCACCTAGCAGTAAATAGGTACCTAAGAGTTAGACGGCTGCTTCCTTTCGGGTACTTCACTTTTTACCTCAACGTGCTACCCCAGAAGCTGGGGCCAGATTCACGAAGCAGTTACGCAAGCACTTACGAACGTGTACATCTTTCCTCAATCTTTGACGGCTTTGGTTACATTTATTAAACAGTTTACAAGCAGGAAAACTTGCCAATCAACTGTTGTTATTGTTATAAACAGCCTCCTGGTGCTTCCGAGCTCATTAACTGTTTAATAATTGTAAACAAAGCCGCCAAAGATTGAGAAAAGATGTACACGTTCGTAAGTGCTTGCGTAACTGCTTCGTGAATCTGGCCCCCAGGTTCGTAAGTGTTGGCGTAACTGCTTCGTGAATCTGGCCCCCAGGTTCGTAAGTGTTGGCGTAACTGCTTCGTGAATCTGGCCCCTGGCTTTTATCGGGGTCCGTAGTGGGTAGAGGCGCAGGAGAGTAAAGCGCAATACATTCCCTTGTGTTCATGCGCGTTCTTCCACCTCCAGAGCCCATGTGGGGAGCGACAAGGCCCACGAGTCGCACCGTTTTGGTAGATCTGCTCTCTCTCTCTCTCTCTCTCTCTCCTCTCCCTTGGGGAAGGCCTCTGACTCCACCACGATCATCCTATTGATTCTTTCCTCCCTCCTCGCCCTTCCTTCCTTCTCTGGGATTGCTGCATTAGTCGTGCTGGTCACCACACGGGTTTCTCGCGGTCCTGGCTTCGATGATGGAGTCCGTTCTGCACCTCGAGTTCCGGGTCAACTTCTTTGTTTTGATGGCTTTTGATTGACTTTTATTTTGGTCTTCGACTCCGGGATTGGTTTTTTTTCCTGCTGATCTGTTTTCCTGCTGATCTGTTTTCCTGCTGATCTGTTTTCCTGCTGATCTGTTGTGTGGGTGATCTGTTTTCCTGCTGATCTGTTGTGTTGGTGATCTGTTTCCCTGCTGATCTGTTGTGTTGATCTGTTTTCCTGCTGATCTGTTGTGTTGGTGATCTGTTTTCCTGCTGATCTGTAGTGTGGGTGATCTGTTTTCCTGCTGATCTGTAGTGTGGGTGATCTGTTTTCCTCCTGATCTGTTGTGTGGGTAATCTGTTTTCCTGCTGATCTGTTGTGTGGGTAATCTGTTTTCCTGCTGATCTGTAGTGTGGGTGATCTGTTTTCCTCCTGATCTGTTGTGTGGGTAATCTGTTTTCCTGCTGATCTGTTGTGTGGGTAATCTGTTTTCCTGCTGATCTGTTGTGTGGGTGATCTGTTTTCCTGCTGATCTGTTGTGTGGGTGATCTGTTGTGTTGGTGATCTGTTGTGTGGGTGATCTGTTTTCCTGCTGATCTGTTGTGTTGGTGATCTGTTTTCCTGCTGATCTGTTGTGTGGGTGATCTGTTTTCCTGCTGATCTGTTGTGTTGGTGATCTGTTTTCCTGCTGATCTGTTGTGTGGGTGATCTGTTTTCCTGCTGATCTGTTGTGTTGGTGATCTGTTTTCCTGCTGATCTGTTGTGTGGGTGATCTGTTTTCCTGCTGATCTGTTGTGTGGGTGATCTGTTTTCCTGCTGATCTGTTGTGTGGGTGATGATGGTGTCCACCGGCGTCGCTGTCCAGGCTCCCTGTCTCCCGAAGTCCACCTGGATGTTCCGTCTCGATCGGTTCCCTGTCTCATGAACCGTCAATTTGCACCTTGACGGTGGCTGTGTTCTGAGGTCCCATCCCTGGAAACACAAACCAAAACTGTCTCTATTTTCCGCTTGTTACAACTTGTAAAAAAGTTGTTACATCTTGGCTTAACGTGTTTATGACGTATTAGAACGTTGTTACAACATGCTATATTGGTTGTTATAACTGGTTAGGAAGTGTTAAAACTTGTTCGAACGTTGTACCAACGTCGTAGTTTCGGTGTGTGTTTGGCGGGTTCTGCCTGATGTCTTCAAGACAATTCTTCCATATTTGAGTTACTCTTTATCTTGATTTCACAAATCCCGACCTAATTTGTTTCCAATTTTTCCTGCTTAGTCCTTGCTTTAATGTCTGTTTATGATTTTTTTTTCAAATATATCTTTTATTTAATCGAATATAGGCTACTTTTATTGGGATTTTTCTGACCTTAATGTTTTGATCTCTCAGTTCGCCGGCTGATGTCTCTGGGAACCGCTCATGTTGACTATTGCCACCAGATGCGGCTAGTTTATTGTGCACCCCATACTCACCCTGCGGGCGGTAGCGCAAAAATGTTTACAGAGGGTACAAAAGGTCTTTATTAGACCTATTATTATTATTATTGGTGCTCATCACACTACTTGTTTCTTAAGGTCATATGTCATTTATCAATTATAAGGGAAGGCAACTATCTTGAGGTTATCTTGAGATGATTTCGGGGCTTTTTAGTGTCCCCGCGGCCCGGTCCTCGACCAGGCCTCCACCCCCAGGAAGCAGCCCGTGACAGCTGACTAACTCCCGAGTACCTATTTACTGCTAGGTAACAGGGGCATTCAGGGTAAAAGAAACTTTGCCCATTTGTTTCTGCCTCGTGCGGGAATCGAACCCGAGCCACAGAATTACGAGTCCTGCGCGCTATCCACCAGGCTTTCGTGGTCCCGAAAGGGGGCCACGGGAAAAGGGGATATATCAGGGGAAGGCGTATTCCTCAAAAGTATTATCTGCAGTGTTTTTCAACCTCCAGCCTACCAATTTCTTGTGTTGATATTAAGATCATCTTAGATTTGTTTACTGTCGTTATTACTCGTGTTAAAGTGGTTTAACTGTTAACAGAGACTATGGGACGATGCTGTTTATAATGCCCGAGGCTGTTGTCCATACCTGTATGTTCCGTCGTCTCCTGTTCCGTCGTCTGCTGTTCCGTTGTCTGCTGTTTCGTCGTCACCTGTTCCGTCGTCACCTGTTCCGTCGTCTGCTGTTCCGTCGTCTGCTGTTCCGTCGTCTGCTGTTCCGTCGTCTCCTGTTTCTGTCGTCTCCTGTTCCGTCGTCTGCTGTTCCGTCGTCACCTGTTCCGTCGTCTGCTGTTCCGTCGTCACCTGTTCCGTCGTCTCCTGTTCCGTTGTTCCTGAATCCTTTTACTCCATGTGTGCCATTCTCTCGACAACGTCTTGACACAGTAGACTGAAACTTCTTCGTGACCTTCTCCTCTACTCTATAGAGTCTACAGGACTCTCCTTCACTTCTAAGTTAACTCTACCTCTTGTTCCTCCTCTCTCCCGCCTCTACCTCCCGCTCTCTGCCTCCTGCGACCTATGGAAGTGTGTAACTTTGGACAATTGAGACTGTTGTGGATGTCTTCCGCAAGCGTGTAGCCTGGAAGACATACCAGTTGATTGACAGTCATGAGGCGGGGCCAAAGAGCCGAAGCTCAACCTCCACGCAGGTACAACTAGGTGGGTAACATCTCCCATGAACGGCAAACACGTCTTCATATTAAAGAAACTGGCGGGTCATTCATTCTACTAAGCTGTAAAGTTGAAGAACATATGTCTTCACTTTTGCCTGTTATCTCAATGAAGATGTGTGAGGTTACGGGAAAAATGGCTCCTGGTTGGTCTCTAGTGACCTCTGATGCCCTTCCTACCACTCCTTACCACCCCCTGGTAGTAGAGCTGGTATAGAGCTTGGACGGGAGCTGGTCGGTCTAGCGGACAGCACACTGGACTTTGTGATCCTGTGGTGCCGGGTTCGATCCCGGGCGCCAGCGAGAAACGATGGGCAGAGTTTCTTTCACCCTGTGCTCCTGTTACCTAGCAGTAAATAGGTACCTGGGTGTTAATCAGCTGTCACGGGCTGCTTCCTAGGGGTGGAGGCCTGGTCAAGGACCGGGCCGCGGGGACACTAAAAAGCCCCGAAATCAACTCAAGATAACCCCTAGCCTGCCTTCCTGGGGCATTCACGAAAGCACTTACGCAGGTACTTACGAACGTGTACATCTTTCCTCAATCTTTGACGACTTTGGTTACATTTATTAAACAGTTTACAAGCATGAAAACTTGCCAATCAACTGTTGTCATTGTTATAAACAGCCTCCTGGTGCTTCGGAGCTCATTAACTGTTTAATAATTGGAACCAAAGCCGCCAAAGATTGAGAAAAGATGGACAGGTTCGTAAGTACTTGCGTAAGTGCTTTCGTGAATCTGGCTCCAGATTTTAGATTTCCGCACGCACTTTCTGACCTCCTGCAATGATTTCCTCACTATTTCTGACCATCAGACTGCTCTGTTCCCTCGTCTGATGGTCAGACGAGGGAACAGAGACCGCTGAGACCGCAGAGACCGAGTGGAGACCGCTGCTCCACGGTGGCGGTCTCCGAGGATTAAGAAATGCTCCTCTGTCTCTCATCCCAAAGCTTAGAGGTTTATCGGCCTGTTAGTAATGTTATCTGTGGTAGAGGATATGGCCTCCTACAGCCTGGCCTCCTACAACCTGTCCTCCTACAACCTGGCCTCCTACAGCATGTCCTCCTACAACCTGGCCTCCTACAACCTGGCCTCCTACAGCCTGTCCTCCTACAACCTGTCCTCCTACAACCTGGCCTCCTACAACCTGTCCTCCTACAACATGTCCCTCCTACAGCCTGTCCTCCTACAACCTGTCCTCCTACAACCTGTCCTCCTAACAAGAACGTCGCTTTTCGCTCCTATGTGTCACATAAGGCCAAACAAATTGTCGTACTAGAAAATGGAAGTGGCTAGCGAAAGTGACGTACTGTCCCGTTTTCTGTTGTGGGTCCTCTGGTAGATTAGGAGAGACTACTTTAAACTGACCGTTTTCTTGACATTAGGCAACCTTAGGAGGACGGACTGTGGTGAAGCAGCTCTGCCCTTGAGACGACGTCAAGAACTATCAAGAGAGCCAAGGAAGTCGTCAGTAAGTCGTGTGTGTGAATATTACAAGAAAAAGGGAAAGACTGAAAGCGTATGTAACCAAATACTATTTTATTTAAGCACCAGTTACGCGACGTTCCTTGACGTTCATAGAGCGTGGGTTTATCTGACATCCTGGAGGTACGGTGAACACAAGGTACGGTGAACCCAAGGTACGGTGAACACAAGGTACGGTGAACACAAGGTACGGTGAACACAAGGTACGGTGAACACAAGGTACGGTGATCCAAGGTACGGTGAATCCAAGGTACGGTGAACCCAAGGTACGGTGAACACAAGGTACGGTGATCCAAGGTACGGTGAATCCAAGGTACGGTGAACACAAGGTACGGTGAACACAAGGTACGGTGATCCAAGGTACGGTGAATCCAAGGTACGGTGAACCCAAGGTACGGTGAACCCAAGGTACGGTGAATCCAAGGTACGGTGAATCCAAGGTACGGTGAATCCAAGGTACGGTGAACCCAAGGTACGGTGAACACAAGGTACGGTGAACCCAAGGTACGGTGAACACAAGGTACGGTGAACACAAGGTACGGTGATCCAAGGTACGGTGAATCCAAGGTACGGTGAACCCAAGGTACGGTGAACCCAAGGTACGGTGAACCCAAGGTACGGTGAATCCAAGGTACGGTGAATCCAAGGTACGGTGAACCCAAGGTACGGTGAACACAAGGTACGGTGAATCCAAGGTACGGTGAACACAAGGTACGGTGAACCCAAGGTACGGTGAACCCAAGGTACGGTGAACACAAGGTACGGTGAACACAAGGTACGGTGAACACAAGGTACGGTGAACCCAAGGTACGGTGAACCCAAGGTACGGTGAACACAAGGTACGGTGAACCCAAGGTACGGTGAACACAAGGTACGGTGAACCCAAGGTACGGTGAACCCAATCACCCAACAAGAGCTCTATTGGATTTCACACGGAAAATCCCTCATCATGCTGTAGTCCCCTGTCAATACTCTCACTTCTTCAATCCCCGACCGTCCAGAAGTGGTTGGGCACCATTCCTTCCCCTCCGTCCCATCCCAAATCCCAATCCTGACCCCTTCCAATATAGTCGTAATGGCTTGGCGCTTTCCTCTGATAATTATCTTCCCTTCCAGATGATGGGCTCTCTCTCTCTCTCTCTCTCTCTCTCTCTCTCTCTCTCTCTCTCTCTCTCTCTCTCTCTCTCTCTCTCTCTCTCTCTCTCTCTCTCTCTCGGGACTTTGTGCCCCTATTGGGAATAGGGGAATTTTCCCGAACGATTAGGAGACAGAACCTTCCAGGACTTCCAGGAAGGAGACGAGCGATGGTACCTCTTCTCTCCACTACACTAAACTACTCCTCTCTTGACTCCTGCTCAGTACCAATGCTGAGCACTGTTGGTCTTCTGATCACTGTGGCACAGTCTACGTACACCGGCCATCGTAGCGTCGCTATAAGCTGCTCAGGTCGGGCTCAAGCCAATGACAGCAAACACGACCATTCAAGCATTGTACATTGTGTACAATGTACCAAGTGTACATTGGTGCACAAGGCGATGAAATACACTGTATTGCTCTATCGTGCACAACCCTTTGCACTCAAGGCAGTGTGAATTCCTCATCTCTCTCACACTCTCACACGCACACACACACACACACGCGAACGTGGAACGGTGGGACGCGAACAAGGGGACACAGGTGGAAACTGAGTACCTAGATGAGCCACAGGGACGTTAGAAGGAACTTTTTCAGTGTCAGAGTAGTTAACAGGTGGAATGCATTAGGAAGTAATGTGGTGGAGGCTGACTCCATACACAGTTTCAAGTGTAGATATGATAGAGCCCAATAGGCTCAGGAACCTGTACACCTGCTGATTGACAGTTGAGAGGCGGGACCAAAGAGCCAGAGCTCAACCCCTGCAAACACAACCAGGTGAGTGCACACACGCACACACAGACACACACACACACACACACAAACGCACACATATTAAGCCAATTCCATATCATCCTTTCCAGACTGGAAGAACATGGATGTAGGTAGATAGAGAGGAACGAAGAAAACGAAAAGAGGCAAAGCCGGGACATCGAAGAAAATAGAGGAGATAGAAGATAGAGGCACAAATAAAGAGTGTGGAGACCCAGGGACAAGGGACACCGGGCAGCCCGCCAAGTGACCAAAGGAAACAACGGAGATTTCACTCACACAACTTTGCTCCTCGATAAAAAAAAAGAGAGACAGATTTGGATTTATTCAGAAGGTTTCTTTGTCGGAAATGGAATTAGGTATTTCACAGGTCAATAGAACACACACACACACACACACACACACACACACACACACACACAAATCAGGAATTGACAAAGGTATATTGCATAATGTGATGAAGACAAACTATCAAAATTTTGGATTATGGCTGTTCGGTCATCGTCCAACAAGAGCCCAAGGTACGGTGAACACAATCACCCAACAAGAGCCCAAGGTACGGTGAACACAATCACCCAACAAGAGCCCAAGGTACGGTGAACACAATCACCCAACAAGAGCCATATTGGATTTCATAAAGTCCACGAAAAGTCCCTCATCTTACTGAAGTTCCCTGTCAGTGATCTCTCTTTTTCCGCGAAAGATTTGTGTAAGTAACTCCTTGGCTATATATCCACGCATGACAGTGACGAGCATGAGTGACAAGCATGACAGTGACAAGCATGGCAGTGAAGTAGTCGCTAACATAGGCATTCCATACAATCCGTCCTCTCAAGCGTTTAGATCGTCGCTAAACTGATGTACTTAAATTGGACAAATCTAACCTAACCGAGGGCCCTCCCATAGATAACGAGACATCACGTGTCAACTTTGCGAACCGCTGTGATTTTTACTACGTCAGTTTTTAGGTCTTCGGGGGATTGGACACGTCAAAATACCACTTGGAAGATCGGGGATTGAACGCCGACCTGCATGAAGCGAGACCGTCGCTTAGACATATTCTGTCTAGTAAACATTGCATGGTACTCTGTCCATTTCTCAAAAAATTCTCTGTCGATATATATTTAACTGACTTGATGTTTGTAAAGAAAACTTTCACTGGTCGATTTATCTCTCTTAAACCTACCAAGCCTGCAGAAATGCTCTATTTCCGTTATTGCATCTCCAGCCTGAATTTTGTCTAAAATTTATGTTACAGTATTTCATTTTGGTCTTCTTATTTGCCATGTGTCTTCTTCTAGCTCTGGTAAGTTGTATATTACCACTAATCTCTCACTCTCCCACTCCTCCTGTGTACATTTTGTGACTTGGGGAGCTTTGCAGCCGCTAACACTGTTGCCTTAAATACTTCAGTACTTAAATACTGCCTTAAATACTGCCTTAAATACTGCCTTAAATACTGCCTTAAATACTCCTTAAATACTTGTTACTTCAGCTAAGATTTTGTTGGGCTTTACTCCCCAAATCTCAAGTTAAATTCTTTACGTGTTTAAATCGCTGCTCTGTTATCCTACTAGCTATCAGAAGGTAGCGAGAAGGATAACATAGAAGGATAACAAGGATAACATAGAAGGATAACAAGGATAACATAGAAGGATAACAAGAAGGATAACAAGAAGTATTTATCAAAAGAAGGCACCAAGCCAGGAAGGCTATGTAGCACCATAGGATAAAAAGAAAGATAACATAGACGGATAACGAGAAGGATAACAACATTTCCTTTGATGTTGTTGCTGCTTTGGGGGAGACGACGATCTAAGGATCGGATGCACCCAGGCGTACCCTTAAAGGGCAAATCACAAATCCTATTGGGTAAATCGATGTCGCTAGTTGATAAACAAATGCGCCTCGCGGCGAATGAACACATTGATGGCCAGATGATTAGGGAGGGCCACAGGGAGGCCAGCACCGGCCTCTCCCCACATAGAGAACACAAAGAGCCAGAGCTCAACCCCCGCAAACACAACTAGGTGAGTACACTGGGGTAGGAAAGCAAAAACGCACCTCCCTTCCGAAACGCAAAACGTCAACCAGTGACCCCCGGCAGAGCAGAAGGCTGCCGCCCACCCCGTCTGAGGGCGCACCAGGAGCCCGCCAACTCCCGGCACCTCTCAGCCAAGCTAGTGCCGGGCGCCGGACACCGTCACCCCGCCTGAAGAACCAGCCAGAAAACATTCGTAATCTAGCAACTTTCCGGTGGCTCCAGGCTTGGTAAGAATCCCGACCATTGAGTGGGTATACAAGCGGCAGTATCGAACCCCCGAGGGTTGAATAGTCGTCATGGTTGGAACGGAAGTCCCAGAGGCTCCTTTGTTGCCCTTCTTTTCTCTTCCATCGTTTCTATTCTGTTCTACAACCCAGTCAATCTTGCCTCCCTTTTGACAGTTACTTCCTTCAGTTCTTCCGCCTATTTAAAGGTCGCAGAGTTCATGGCTCCAGGCAAGTTTTGCTTTAAGGTCAGCAAATAACCTCATTTTGTTTTCCAACCTCCTTCTGTATTTCTTGAAACTGACTTCCCAGAGAAACTACCTCTTGTTCAGTGATCTTTTTCCTCAATATTGTCTTGCATTTTTGCACTGCATCTCACTAGTGCATGGTGCTAGTAGTGGTGGTACTGGAGAAGTGGTGGTGGTAGTGCTGGAATAGTAATAGTGGAGATAGGGGGATGGAAGGCCTCTCTAACTTACCACCAGTATTGACTGACCGATACACTACCCAGCCGCCATGTCAGATCGTTTGATGTGGTGCTCGTGCCTGGAACCTCCATAACCAATATCAATTACCTTCATCCCCTTGACGATCCGGGATGACAGTCCGTCCTCTACTCTCAGATGGGTTCCGGGACGCAAGCTTCCGTACCTCCTCTCGCGTCGCCCTACCAGCTTTCCCGCCTCCTCTCGCGTCGCCCTACCAGCTTTCCCGCCTCCTCTCGCGTCGTCCTACCAGCTTTCCCGCCTCCTCTCGCGTCGCCCTACCAGCTTTCCCGCCTCCTCTCGCGTCGCCCTACCAGCTTTCCCGCCTCCTCTCGCGTCGCCCTACCAGCTTTCCCGCCTCCTCTCGCGTCGCCCTACCAGCTTTCCCGCCTCCTCTCGCGTCGCCGTACCAGCTTTCCCGCCTCCTCTCGCGTCGCTCTACCAGCTTTCCCGCCTCCTCTCGCGTCGCCCTACCAGCTTTCCCGCCTCCTCTCGCGTCGCCCTACCAGCTTTCCCGCCTCCTCTCGCGTCGCCCTACCAGCTTTCCCGCCTCCTCTCGCGTCGCTCTATCAGCTTTCCCGCCTCCTCTCGCGTCGCTCTACCAGCTTTCCCGCCTCCTCTCGCCTCGCTCTACCAGCTTTCCCGCCTCCTCTCGCGTCGCTCTACCAGCTTTCCCGCCTCCTCTCGCGTCGCCCTACCAGCTTTCCCGCCTCCTCTCGCGTCGCCCTACCAGCTTTCCCGCCTCCTCTCGCGTCGCCCTACCAGCTTTCCCGCCTCCTCTCGCGTCGCCCTACCAGCTTTCCCGCCTCCTCTCGCGTCGCCCTACCAGCTTTCCCGCCTCCTCTCGCGTCGCCCTACCAGCTTTCCCGCCTCCTCTCGCGTCGCCCTACCAGCTTTCCCGCCTCCTCTCGCGTCGCTCTATCAGCTTTCCCGCCTCCTCTCGCGTCGCTCTACCAGCTTTCCCGCCTCCTCTCGCGTCGCTCTACCAGCTTTCCCGCCTCCTCTCGCGTCGCTCTACCAGCTTTCCCGCCTCCTCTCGCGTCGCCCTACCAGCTTTCCCGCCTCCTCTCGCGTCGCCCTACCAGCTTTCCCGCCTCCTCTCGCGTCGCCCTACCAGCTTTCCCGCCTCCTCTCGCGTCGCCCTACCAGCTTTCCCGCCTCCTCTCGCGTCGCCCTACCAGCTTTCCCGCCTCCTCTCGCGTCGCCCTACCAGCTTTCCCGCCTCCTCTCGCGTCGCCCTACCAGCTTTCCCGCCTCCTCTCGCGTCGCCCTACCAGCTTTCCCGCCTCCTCTCGCGTCGCTCTATCAGCTTTCCCGCCTCCTCTCGCGTCGCTCTACCAGCTTTCCCGCCTCCTCTCGCGTCGCCCTACCAGCTTTCCCGCCTCCTCTCGCGTCGCCCTACCAGCTTTCCCGCCTCCTCTCGCGTCGCCCTACCAGCTTTCCCGCCTCCTCTCGCGTCGCCCTACCAGCTTTCCCGCCTCCTCTCGCGTCGCCCTACCAGCTTTCCCGCCTCCTCTCGCGTCGCCCTACCAGCTTTCCCGCCTAAGCTGCCGGGAGCTTAGGTAAGCTTAGACCGCATCTACCGCTATATTATATATGAGTTAGTATACGGGTCAGCGCACAAGGACTGGGGGGGGAGGCCCTTTGGCCAGGCAGATGTCTTGCACGGACTTTCTTTGCTGTCCGGACTTCTTGTTGGACTTTCTGTGCTGTCCGGATTTTTGTTGGACTTTCTGTGCTGTTCGGACTGTTGTTGGACTTGCTGTGCTGTCCGGACTGTTGTTGGACTTTCTGTGCTGTCCGGACTGTTGTTGGACTTTCTGTGCTGTCCGGATTTTTGTTGGACTTTCTGTGCTGCCCGGACTTTCTGTGCTGTCCGGACTTTTTGTTGGACTTTCTGTGTTGTCCGGACTTTTTGTTGGACTTTCTGTGCTGTCCGGACTTTTGTTGGACTTTCTGTGCTGTCCGGACTTGCACAGGACCTTCCATCATGCGCGGACTTACACAGGGACCTGCCCTGCATGGATTAAGTGAACATCTTTTGTGCTGTAGAATACATCCTGCGTTATATAATCTTTGCACATAATTAGGACTTTTTATGCAGAAAGGACTTGATTAGTATTTATTTTTGGCATTTGACACACGCAGGTCCTTCACTGTTACAGTTACAGAGAGTGTTAGTAGCGCCGTGTTCCTGTAATGAGTGACTACAGCTGTATTTCTTAACCGGTTACATTTGCTACAGTAATACTAGAATACAGTGAACTCATACGAAGTCTTTGTTTATCATTTTGCTCCATAAATGATACATTAAAGATGTTAATACTACGATAAACACATAAGAAGATAAGGTAAGGAGCGACGTTTCACGAATGAGTCTTCGTGTTTGTGAGTAGTTTTCATGTCGTGGACAAGGCCATCTGGAAGGCCGTTCCGGGTTATTGTTTTGATCTGCGGCATAGTGGAGAACGTCTTCCCACACTTTGGAATTGGAATAGTCACCCCAGACAATGCTAGCGCAACTGTTGCTTATGCTCCCAACAGTTTACACTGAAGTCAGACAGCGGTTAAGGCGCGGAATATTGTCTATGACAACTTTGGTTTACCTAGGAGATCGATGAGCTCCTCCTTCAGGTCTTCCTTCAGGAACTCTTCCTTCAGGAACTCTTCCTTCAGGAGCTCTTCCTTCAGGAACTCTTCCTTCAGGAACTCTTCCTTCAGGAGCTCTTCCTTCAGGAGCTCTTCCTTCAGGAGCTCCTCCTTCAGGAGCTCTTCCTTCAGGAGCTCTTCCTTCAGGAGCTCCTCCTTCAAGAGCTCCTCCTTCAGGAGCTCCTCCTTCAGGAGCTCTTCCTTCAGGAGCTCTTCCTTCAGGAGCTCCTCCTTCGAGAGCTCCTCCTTCAGGAGCTCCTTCGAGAGCTCCTCGTTCAAGAGCTCCTCCTTCGAGAGCTCCTCGTTCAAGAGCTCCTCCTTCGAGAGCTCCTCCTTCGAGAGCTCCTCCTTCGAGAGCTCCTCCTTCAGGAGCTCTTCCTTCAGGAGCTCTTCCTTCAGGAGCTCCTCCTTCAGGAGCTCCTCCTTCGAGAGCTCCTCCTTCGAGAGCTCCTCCTTCGAGAGCTCCTCCTTCGAGAGCTCCTCCTTCGAGAGCTCCTCCTCCAGGAGCTCCCCCTTCAAGTTATCAGTAACACTCAAGTCTGCCAGGAAAAGCTGCTGACTCCATCCTGGACGCGCGTGGTCCTTGGACAAGCACAGTGTCGTGGAGTTCTCACGGAACGAGAGGCAAGTAACATGTCCTTTGCATGGGACCACTAGTATTGTTATTATTACACAGTGGGACCACACCTACACCGTGTTGTGAGGGCTGGGGGAGTGTTGGCGAGGCTGGGGGAGGTGCTGGGGGAGTGTTGGGGAGGCTGGGGGAGTGTTGGGGGAGTGTTGGGGAGGCTGGGGGAGGTGCTGGGGGAGTGTTGGGGAGGCTGGGGGAGGTGCTGGGGAGGCTGGGGGAGTGTTGGGGAGGCTGGGGGAGTGTTGGGGAGGCTGGGGGAGTGTTGGGGAGGCTGGGGGAGTGTTGGGGAGGCTGGGGGAGTGTTGGGGAGGCTGTGGGAGTGTTGGGGAGGCTGGGGGAGTGTTGGGGAGGCTGGGGGAGTGTTGGCGAGGCTGGGGGAGTGTTGGGGAGGCTGGGGGAGTGTTGGGGAGGCTGGGGGAGTGTTGGGGAGGCTGGGGGAGTGTTGGGGAGGCTGGGGGAGTGTTGGGGAGGCTGGGGGAGTGTTGGGGAGGCTGGGGGAGTGTTGTGAGGGCTGGGGGAGTGTTGGGGAGGCTGGGGGAGTGTTGGGGAGGCTGGGGGAGTGTTGGGGAGGCTGGGGGAGTGTTGGGGAGGCTGGGGGAGTGTTGGGGAGGCCGGGGGAGTGTTGGGGAGGCTGGGGGAGTGTTGGGGAGGCTGGGGGAGTGTTGGGGAGGCTGGGGGAGTGTTGGGGAGGCTGGGGGAGGTGCTGGGGAGGCTGGGGCAGTGTTGGGGAGGCTGGGGGAGTGTTGGGGAGGCTGGGGGAGTGTTGGGCAGGCTGGGGGAGTGTTGTGAGGGCTGAGGGAGTGTTGGGGAGGCTGGGGGAGTGTTGGGGAGGCTGGGGAAGTGTTGGGGAGGCTGGGGAAGTGTTGGGGAGGCTGGGGGAGTGTTGGGGAGGCTGGGGGAGTGTTGGGCAGGCTGGGGGAGGTGCTGGGAAGACTAGGGAAGTATTAGGGAGGCTGGGGAAGGTCCTGAGGTAGCCTGGGGTAGCGATGATGGAGACATCAGCTGCAGGGAGTTCATGGGGACACCAAGGAAAATATTCCTCCCCACGGGGAGCCGGTCGGCCGAGCGGACAGCACGCTGGACTTGTGATCCTGTGGTCCTGGGTTCGATCCCAGGCGCCGGCGAGAAACAATGGGCAGAGTTTCTTTCACCCTATGCCCCTGTTACCTAGCAGTAAAATAGGTACCTGGGTGTTAGTCAGCTGTCACGGGCTGCTTCCTGGGGGTGGAGGCCTGGTCGAGGACCGGGCCGCGGGGACACTAAAAAGCCCCGAAATCATCTCAAGATAACCTCAAGATAACGCCCCCTGGCTTACCACCGAAGCCAGGGAGGATATGAACGTCGTCTTCCAAGAAAAATTGACATCTAAGGTGTGTGTGACAAACGTTCAGACACTTGGCCAATGCGATTATGTACTCTTCAGTCTCTTCAATTTTTATTATATAAAACTCTAAATTCATTTATTGTTCTATTTGCTGTATTTTTAAATTGATGAATACCTCATCAGGATCATTTATTTTTTACAAGTTTATCTTGAGGTTATCTTGAGATGATTTCGGGGCTTTAGTGTCCCCGCGGCCCGGTCCTCGACCAGGCCTCCACCCCCAGGTAGCAGCCCGTGACAGCTGATTAACACCCAGGTACCTATTTACTGCTAGGTAACAGGGGCATTCAGGGTGAAAGAAACTTTGACCATTTGTTTCTGCCTCGTGCGGGAATCGAACCCGCGCCACAGAATTACGAATCCTGCGCGCTATCCACCAGGCTACTAGGCCCTACCTCGTAGTTTGCGTGTAGTTTGCGTGTAGTTTGCGTGTAATTTGCGTGTAATTTGCGTGTAATTTGCGTGTAATTTGCGTGTAATTTGTGGATAAAATATTGTCAAAAGTATATTTGGCTTCAGGGCGGAGTCATATATATATATCTTGAGATTACTTTGAGATGGTTTCGGGGCTTAACGTCCCCGCGGCCCGGTCCTCGACCAGGCCTCCTGAGGCGAATTCAGGAGGGCGAACATGGGTTAATTCCTGAGACTAATGGGTTATTTGCTGAGACTAATGGGTTAATTCTTGAGACTAATGAGTTAATTCCTGAGACTAATGGGTTAATTGCTGAGACTAATGGGTTAATTCTTGAGACTAATGAGTTAATTCCTGAGACTAATGGGTTAATTCTTGAGACTAATGAGTTAATTCTTGAGACTAATGAGTTAATTCCTGAGACTAATGGGTTAATTCCTGAGACTAATGGGTTAATTCTTGAGACTAATGAGTTAATTCCTGAGACTAATGGGTTAATTCCTGAGACTAATGGGTTAATTCCTGAGACTAATGGGTTAATTCCTGAGACTAATGGGTTAATTCCTGAGACTAATGAGTTAATTCTTGAGACTAATGAGTTAATTCCTGAGACTAATGGGTTAATTCCTGAGACTAATGAGTTAATTCTTGAGACTAATGAGTTAATTCTTGAGACTAATGAGTTAATTCCTGAGACTAATGAGTTAATTCCTGAGACTAATGGGTTAATTCCTGAGACTAATGGGTTAATTCGGAAATTAATGTGTTATACCCATTTAGAAGACGTCAACTACTCAAGACGTTCAGCAAAATTATCAATCATCATTTTGGTTGGCTGTGTTCTGGGTGCTGTTTGACCCCCAGAACAGCAACAACCTGCTTGATCATACCTTCTTCCAGGTGCTTATTAGGTTCCTTCTTGAAAGAAACAGTTAGAGGTTTGTTAATATTGCCCCTTTAAGATAATATTGCCCCTTTAAGATAATATTGCCCCTTTAAGATAATATTGCCCCTTTATGATAATATTGCCCCTTTATGATAATATTGCCCCTTTATGATAATATTGCCCCTTTAAGATAATATTGCCCCTTTATGATAATATTGCCCCTTTATGATAATATTGCCCCTTTAAGATAATATTGCCCCTTTATGATAATATTGCCCCTTTAAGATAATATTGCCCCTTTAAGATAATATTGCCCCTCAAGATAACTCAAGATAACTTTATATATAAAGCCGGGGTGATGGGGGGGAGGGAGGGAAATATCAGGGGGAAAGCGCCAAGCCATTACGACTATATAGTACTGGGATAGGTCAGGATAAGGATTTGGGATGGGACGGAGGGAAAGGAATGGTGCCCCAACCACTTGTGGACGGTCGAGGGGATTGAACCCCGACTTGCATGACGCGAGACCGTCGCTCTACCGTCCAGCCCAAGTGGTTGGACTCAGGGTGATTGATTGTTTGTTGAATGTGTTGAGTG